ACCAATACAGTATACTAACGCATATGTATGGAATTTAGAAAGATGGTAATGATAACCCTATATGCAAGACAGAAAAAGAGACACAGATGTATAGAACAGACTTTTGGATTCTGTGGGAGAAGGTGAGGGTGGGATGATCTGAGAGAATAGCATTGAGACATGTATATTGTCAATTGTGAAACAGAGCGCCAGTCCAGGTTTGATGCATGAGACAAGTGCTCAGGGCTGGTGCACTAGGATGACCCAGAGGGATGGGATGGGGAGGGAGATGGAAGAGGGGTTCAGGATAGGGAGCATATGTAAATCCATGGCTGATTCATATCAATGTATGGCAAAAACCACTATGATATTGTAAAGTAATTAGCCTCCAACTAATATAAATACATGAAAAAAATAAATTAAAAAAAAAAGAAAAAAATACAATTCTCCATTGACAGTTTTTCTGTCAAAAAAAACATTGAAATGGAAATTGATTGTTTTATATGATAAATGAGATCTGAAAAATATATATTTTAAAAAAGGAGTAATAAAAAAGGAAACTATGTATTTACAAAGAAAAGAGCAAATGCATAAAATAGAATAACACTGCTATTGAGCTCTGGACATTTTGAACAAACCCAAACTTTGCATGCTATGGACAATGACTTCATCGCACACCCCTCCCCCCAACATTTTCTCCTGTTTTGACTGGGAGTGGCTCTAGCTGCCATGCCTTTCAGTCCCACCTTTGTATGTCGGGTGTGAGGGCCGATGACTTGTGTCATTAGTCTCGCAAGTTCACAGACAGAGAGGAATTGTGTTCCAGGGGCTGGACTTCCTGAACTACACCCCAGGCACCTCAGTCACACCTGGAACTGATGTAGATGTTGAGATTCTGGACCTCAAATTGATGCTACAATGGGATGAGACCCCTGAAGAACTTGAGAGGCGGGTACGTTTCGCATGTGGGAGAACACCAATCACTGAAGCCCTGAGGACGAGTCTAGGATGGCACCCAATCTCCCCTTGCGTGTGGGTGGTGCCTGTGACTTGCTTCGAACCGAGAGGTTACGCTGTGGGTGACAGAAGCTGAGGCCTCCATCTGACATCCCCTGGAGGAACTGAATCCTGCCAACAGCCATCTGAGCTTGGAAGCAAATCCTTCCTCAGGTCAGCCTCAGCTGAGACCCCAGCCCTGGCTGACGCTTTGTAGGCTAGTGAGAGACCCTGAAGCACAGGACCCAACCAAGCTGTGCCTGGATTTCTGACCCACAAAACTGAGAGGGAATAAATGTGTGTTACTTTGTTCCGAAATCTCAGGTGATTTTTTTTTTATGTAGCAATAAAAATACTACTACACAAATTTTTAATGAAAACTTACTTTCTAATAGAGGGAGGACTCCAGCATAATGGGTGAGGATTTGGTTGTTCAATAAATGGTGTTAGAACAACTGGCTAGTCCCCTGGAGGAAGATATAGAAGGAGCACTACTTACCCTGCCACTGCAATAAATCCTGGCTGGATCAGATTAAAACACTCACACAAAATAACAAATCTTCAAGGAAAACATATGGGGGGAAGTTTTGTCATTTTAGGGGAAATACAATCTAAATGCTAAACTTTCTTGATGACAAGAATGAAAAGGTAACGTCAACAACAATAAAACTAAAGAGAGCTCAGTATGAAATAAGCAATATAAGTACAAACAGAAGATAAAAACCAAGTGGGAAAAAAGTGTCCTGTATGTACGTTGACAAAGAGCTATTTTCCTTAATATATTGAGTTCGATGAATCAGAACAAACAATGCCATAGAAAATGGGCAGAGAACACAGTTCACAGAACAGAAAATGCCAGCAGCTCTCAGCCTCATTTGCAATAAGAAGAAACTAAATTAAAATTAGGAGATGCTATTTTTTAACCTATCAATTGGCAAAGGCAAAAAAGGTTGGGCAATCATGCTGAGGAATAGGGGATGTGAGTATATATTTGAATAATCTCTGTGGAGGGTAACTGGACAAAATATCTACGAAAATGTCAAAATATGACAAAGCAATCCCACTGCAAGAAATCTCACTGCTAGAAATCTAACCTATGTATATACCTATACATGATACATATTCAAAGATATTCACTGAAGCAGAGTTTGAAATACAGAAAGATTGAAAATAACCAATATGTGTACTAACAGACTACTGCTTAAATATCTAGTTAAATCAACAAATAAACAAGAGAGTTCTATCTGAACTGATATGAAACAGTTTTCTAATGTTATTAAAAACAAAGAACAGGTTCAGGATGGGGAACACATGTACACCCATGGCTGATTCATGTCAATGTATGGCAAAACCAATACAATATTGTAAGCTAATTAGCCTCCAGTTAAAATAAATAAGTAAAAAAAAAAAAAAAACCAACAAAGAACAGAACATTGTGTGATGTATGATATTTGTACAAAAATTTACATATACCAGACATGCTTGTACATGCAAAAAACACTTCAGGAAAAATGCCCAAGGAATAAATAATAATGCTAACTTCCAGGATGTGGAACTAGGAGGCTGGGGTGGGCAGAAGTGAGAGGGGGCTCTTACTTCTTATTTTATAGTTTTTCAAATAGTTTGGATGAATATTATGAACATTTTCTCTATTCATAGTGACGAATAAACACATTGAAAAGAGGGTAATATTTTGCCACCAAATGCTCTTTCCAGGACTTAAAAGGGAGGAGTGTCTTCAGGCAGGAAGAGCCAGTGAATACCCGCTCTGTTGGTGTAAAAGGAAAGAACGCCCACGGCATTTTTAAAGAGTGTCTTAAAATAGTGTACTGACTGCAAAGTTCAGTGGGCTCAGCTCCTTCTGGTTGTTGGTTCCAGAATTGTCAGGATCATTTCCTCCAGCTAACTTGCAGCCCTCTACAGTTCAGGTTGTTTTTTCCTGGGAAAATGAACGGGGCTTAGAGGATGAGGCTAGAAGAGCCGGCAGCTCCATCCGTGCGGAGCAGGTGGTGATGTTTCAGAGATGTGGTCCCTGTACAGATTTCTCCTGGAGGTTTTCTTTGCTCCTTTCAGCCGGCGTTGCCGCTCCTCTTTCCCGGTCCAGCCTCTGACACAAGCTCTGCAGCTGCCGCACCTACCCCTCCTCCCTCGTTCCCTCTCTCAGTCTGGAACAGCCCTCGCTGGCACCTCTGCAGCTGTGACTCATTGCAAATGCTTTGCATTCCGGGATGTTCTGCAGGGTTTTGGGTCTCCCCTGTGGCTCGAAGCACAAGGCAAGTTGAAAGAGAGGAGAAAAAGAGGCCCTGCAGCTGCCAAAACATTGCAAGGATGAGGGAAAAAATTGTTAGGGAAACTGAAAATGTTTTGTGCGGGCAGGACCCCAGCCAGCCGCTCGCTGGTGTGGGCCTGCTGGTAATTTGAGCAGGGCTGGGGGATGCGGTGGAGGCCAGAGGGGGTTGTCCAAGCCCCATTGAGGCCCATTTGTGTATCCAGAAGCACCACAGGCCATCTGGAGACCATCTCCATCTGTCCAGGAAGGACCTGGGCTGAAGTCACGCTGGAAAGCAGGAATGTGTGTCTCATCCAGAAATGTTTGCTTCAAATATGTTTACCTTTAATTCACTAGAATTACTTTGTTAGCTCATTTCTCTTACCCACCATGTACAGCCATACACAATTTTTTTATATTCAGGTCAACTGATATCTATTAATACTTTTAAAACAGTAGTGTCTTTTTTCCCCCCCTTCCTTCAAGCTATGGAATCCTGTGTTGAAGTCTGTGTAAAAGAAATAAATGCCAAACTGCTCAGGTTAATTAAATAGATATGGGTGGGAGCCGGAGGAGAAGAAAGCCCTGTCCATTGACCTTTACCTTCATTTCGCCCCTGATCCTCTAGATAGGCTCCAGTGGGACATAATCTAAACAAATCACTTAAATACACCTTCTTAACTAAATTTACACACACTAAAATATACCCATTTTAAGTGTACAGTTTAATTTAGAGTTTTGGTAAATTGTATATACCCATGAAAGGTATAATTTGAAATCACTAACTTAGTTGATATGAACACAATGAGATAGATATACATTTTAATGAGTAATTAATCTTTTAAAATTTTTTAATTTTATTTTTTATTTTTGGCTGTGCTGGACCTTCATTGCTATGTGAGGGCTTTCTCTAGTTGCAGTGAGTGGGGGACTACTCTTTGCTGCGGTGCCTGGGCTTCTCATTGCCGAGGCTTCTCTTGTGGAGCACAGGCTCTAGATGCACAGGCTTTAGTAGTTGTGCCTCTTGGGTTCAGTAGTTGTGGCTCGCTGGCTCAGTGGTTGTGAAGCATGGGCTTAATTGTCCCTCTGCGTGTGGTATCCTCCTAGATCAGGGGTCAAACCCATATTCCTTGCACTGGCAGGTGGACCCCTAACCACTGAACCATCAGGAAGCCCAAAATGTACATTTGTTAAAGGGGGGAATCAATAGTATTTAATATTCTCCTATATTGTCCTAATCCCATGGATATAACATCATCTCATATTAAGGCTCCTTTACTATCAACAAAAATAATAGCATTTGATTTAATTTCACTTGAATTTCATAGAAGAAAATAACTTGGATTTCACAGAAAACAAAATTGAAGTGGAAAGAATCGCTAAAACTCCAATAACTTCTTCTTCTTTCAAGAAATACTAGTCCCTAAACAATCTCTTTAAGATTGAGAAGAAAGGGTGGGATGAATTGGGACTGACATATATTATACACTACTATGTATAAACTAGATAACTAATGAGAACCTACTGTATAGCACAAGAAACTATACTCGGTGCTCTGTGGTGACCTAAATGGGGAGGAAATCTACGAAAGAGGGGATATATATATATATATATATATATATCTGATTCACTTTGCTGGACACCAAGAAACTAACATAACATTGTAAAGCCACTATACTCCAATAAAATTTAAAGACAAAAAAAAAAGACTGAGAAGAGATTCTGGATGTCACTAAGCATGTTTAGTCGTTTCAATTTCATACATTGATTGACACCTTCTGTGAAAGATGGGGATAAACTGCATACATGGTCTCCCACCTCACAGCCTCTCTTCCTGACTTTTATAGTACTCTTTATATTTGTTAACAATCTCTTCAGGAACATTAACATTCTCTTCAGTGACAGTCCGGCAGTTTGTACTGGTCTGCATTTATTTGGATTTGGGGTTCACTGAAAGTCCTCTATATGCTTCTTTGTTCCTTTTTTCCCCTTAAATTTGTCCCTTAAATGCCAGGATATCACCAAGTAGTTTTTTTGAGAGATGCTCATGGGCATCATGTTTCCTGATATTTTTGTATGTTTAGAAAAAGTCCATTTTGTGTTTGTACAGGAATGACAACCTATTTGGATAAGACACTCTTGGTTGCATTACTTTAGTCATTGTTCCTATTTTCTGTCATTGAATTCTGAGTCAGCAGATAATTTGATATTGTTTGCCTGAATGCTTGAAGAAGTCTTACTTTTGAATTTCAATAGGTTAAGTTTGTCATGATATATCTCAGTACTGAATGTTACATGTTGAGGTTTTCTGAAACAGTGTGTTTTTTAATTCTGCAAATTCACCTTCCTTTGTTTCAGGGGTATTCTCTTGAATATTTTTTGTTTAATTTGATGGGTTTACTATTTCTGGGACATCATTTATGATTATATATTTTAAACCTTTGCTCTAGGTTAGTAATTCAAATTTTTTAGCAATTTCTACTCTGTTCTTTGCTGCTTTTACTTTTATTAATTTTGTCATTATGTTGTTTGGTCCTCCTTTCAGCTCATTCTGCTTTTTTCCTTTTATCACAGTGTATTTGAGCTCCTGTTTTATTTAATTCATGTTCTTAAAATGATTTGTGGTCAAAAGTATTTGTAGTCAATTCCTTTGTTTCTAGGGTTCTTCTAAATTAGGTCCTTTATCATGTTTCTGTTATTTTCCTTTCTTTGAATGTTGGAAAAATAAGTGTTTGTTAAATCACTTTACAATTTTTTTTTCATCCTGCTCACATTTTATCTAGATTGTCTACATTCTATTTGCTTTGAATCAAGATTCTTTTTCTTCTGTAAACTTCAGAACCCAGTTAGTTCTACTTGGTTTTCCTCTCTATATCATGGTTTGAGGGCTGTAAATTTTTTGTCTTCACACTTTTCTGTCTGTGACTTGAGTTGATGGTAGTGGGTAGAGAAGATAGACATCAACTGAAGCAATTCTCAGCTGTAGAATACTTGAGCTCTGCTTTTCTGAAATGTTGTTACCTATCGTATACCAGCTTTCTTTCACCCAGTTGGAGGTTGTATTCTCTTCTTGGGTGTGGCAGGAGGAATACATTTCCTGAAGATTAATATGTGGTCTTCAAGGCAGAGGGAAGCCTGATCACAATGCTTACTTTTGAGGCTTTCCTGTGAGTCTGGAGAAACACAAAGAAAGTATGTAGAAAGTGTGTAGTAGCATAAACCTGGGAATGAAAGCTAACTGAATGACAGGATCATTACTTGAAAGATACTAGTCCCAAGTTTTGAACCCAAATTTACAAGATGAAAATTTACATATAGTATTTATAATCTGGGTTGCCCAGTATTGAAAGCTTTTCCTATTTGGGAGGAGCCCTAAGATCAATTCCCATGGTGCAGTGGTAAAGAATTTGCCTGTAATGCAGGAGACATGGGTTCAATCTCTGGGTCAGGAAGATCCCTTGGAGAAGGAAATGGCAACCCACTCCAGTATTTTTGCCTGGAGAATCCCATGGAGAGAGGAGCCTGGAGGGCTGCAGTCCACGGGGTTTCGGAGTCAGACATGACTGAGTACACACACACATATACACACTAAGATCATAATAGGGAAAATGCCCCCTCCACTCTGGAGGCCCAGAGGGCCACTATCCCTCCCACCCCGAGGGAGCATGAACAAGGACAAGATCTATGCACAGTCAATCAAATGCTGCCACCTGGACTGTATATCTTGAAGGGGTGACAACACAGCTCCAGTCAGTTAGGAATGCCTCCTGGTGGCTATGCAGGGAGGAGAGTCTGGAGGGGCAAAGTGCATGCCCAGTGACAATGGAACCCAGCACAAGGATGGTAGGTATCCAGTGGTGCAGGTGCCAGTCTTGGGGCACCAAATTCCCTGTTGGTAAGTGGCACGTCCTGAGCAGCCTGCTGCTATGGCGAGTATATGGTCCATTCTGCTTTTTCAGTTTGTTTCTACAAGCCACCAGATACCCAGTCAATTCCATTTCCACTTGAGGAACTGTAGTTGGTTTTTGTTATTTATAATCAGAACCTTGACAAGTATAATATATTTTGGGTTCAAAATATATTTTGATTTTTGAATCAAGTGAGAAGAACTGGGTACTTGGAAATCCATGTGAAAAAGACCTAGGAATTTTTTTTTAAGACTTAAAAAAAACTATTTAATTTTATTTGTTTTTTTGACTGAGCTGGGTCTTCATTGCTGCACACCGGCTTTCTATAGTGAGCAACAAACTACTCTTTGTTGCAGTTTGCAGGTTTCTCATTGAGGTGGCTTCTCTTGCTGCAGAACACAGGCTCTAGGCAAACAGGCTTCAGTATTTTCGGCTCTTGGGCTCTAGGCGCGGGCTCAGTAGTTGTGGCACACGGGATTAGTTGCTCTGCAGCATGTGGAATCTTCCTGGACCATGCATTGAACCTGAGTCCTCTGCATCGGCAGGTGGATTCTTAACAACTGGAACACCAGGGATGTCCAAAACTTAGGAATTTTCGTGGACCATGATATAATGAATTTTAATAAGGGAATGGTGTGTCTGCCAGAGGCTACAGTGGGCAGGATAAAGAAGGTCAGAGGCCTGCTTCCTCATCCTTCTGCTTTTATTAGCTACAACTAGAGTGTATTTTCCTGTTTAAAGCATTTTATTTTAATGCAGATAGGGACAAATTAAAGTATGTCTAGTAGAAGAGTGATTAGGAAGGTAATGAGACTTTATATGAAGAAATGGAGAAATTTAACTTAGAAAGGCCACAAGGAAGACAGTCTATGATTCTGTTAAATTATGTTACCACTGAGATAACTGCAATGGTACAAAGACAGATGAAATATGTCTTTAAAAATAAAACAACATCCCCTCCACACAGATATTGGATATGTGGAGACATTACGAAACGTGAGAGAAAATGGGAGACGAAACTTTTCAGATGAGACTATGAGATGAGATAACATGAGAAATGAGTGTTGTTTGAACAACTAGCTTCTATCACTAGTAAAGTGAGCCTGCAGGGACCATTTCCTGGGTTCCAAACGCTTTTCTTTTGGGGCCCTTGGTCATGGGATGCACATATGTTCTTCCCAGGAAATGTTCCTAAATAACTAAATAGCTGGGGTCCGGAGGCTCTGGATAATTCACCTTTATCATCATAAAAGAAATATAAGATCTAAATTTACTGAAATATTCCTGAAATTATACTGAAAAAGGTATATGACTGTATACTATCATATTCTCACATTGCCTTCTGGTTTCTAGTATGTTCAAGTGAGTAATAAGCCCCAAACCTTGTTCTTTCCTTGTAACTTCATAATAAATAGGCCACTTCCATCATCAGAGTGTCCCTGAGGATAATGTTGATTATTGTTACTATTTTTAAACTTGTGTTGCTCTAAGCCACTAAATTTCTTTCAGGTTTTTTTCCCCACTGCGAGGCATGTGGGATCTTAGTTCCCTGACCAGAAACTGAACCATGCCCCCTGCAATGGAAGCACGGAGTCTTAAAGACTAGACTGCCAGAGAAGGCCTAATGTTGATTATTTTGAATTAACTATTTCAAGTAAGAAATGATAAATGTACCTTAGATATACATGTATTACTTGCATATTTCTTCTTTTATGTGAAATGTAAGAATTAAGTTAACTGAAGTTATTTTGCATTTGCAAGAAATAAAAATCTCTGAAGGTAATTAAACTCTTTGGCTAGCTCATATATGAACTGGTTCTACCACTCTCAGGATCCTGAGGAGATCAAGAATGGAGAAAAACTGTGGGGAAACGAAGGCCTCCTCACCTTCACTCTCCTTGGCAGAGTGTGGAGGGCCAAGGCTTTGCCAGGGAAAATACAGTCTAGGGACTCAATACCCGCAGAATTTAGAGAGTCAAACAAGAGCTTCATTCAGGCTTGTGAGGGCTGCTACAAGCCATTTGCTGTGAGGATCCTTCTGACTACTGAGCATGCATATTAACCAGCTTAACTTTTGTTTCTTGTTTTTACAGTTACGGAAACGATCTGGGTTAAGCGATCTACTCTTCTCCTTGTTCTGTCTTGTGACGGGTATTTTGGCAAAGTCTGACTGAGGCTTAAAGAACAATCTGTACCAACAGAACAGGCTGTGAGTTCTTTGGGGTGGGGATGGGAAAGTGTGGAGAGAAGGTGGTTTGGCTTAGTTTTCTCTCTCTTGCACCTAAGGACAGTGGCGAGCAGGTGGTCAAGGACGACTAGACTGAATTGAGCTAAAAGAAGTGAAACTAACTGACCCACAGTATCAAAACCACATACGAACAAGTGATACTTGCTAGGTAGCCAAACAATTAAATTAATAGATAAAGCAATGTTTTGGCAGGGAGAGAAGCTGGGAATATATATTTTTTTGATCTTCATATTACAGCTTGACCCATTGTATAATAATTTATTAAGACACAAGGGAACAGAGGAAGGCCATTTTAAAGAAAGCCAACAAGAACAGCATATTTTTTTTATTCCTATTGTCATATTAGGTTTGTTGCTTAGGAGAAATTGTCAACAATTCCAAAATAAAAAAATCACAGGACAGTTAAATTTATATTTACCTGAAACAAAGGAAAAAATTAAGGACTTTATTCCATTTCTCCTCACTAAAATTTAATTCTCTCTCTTAAAAAAAACTCTCATATGGAGGGCAATAGAAATGGCATACTATTTTTTATTTGTTTAAACAATTTCCAAAATGCTGTTGGACACAAACTGGCATTATTACATCTAATATAGCAAAAGGAAGGAATGCATAAATATAAAAATAGATATTAAAGAATTAGAAAACAGAAAAATGGCAGTACTAATAAATAAATTCAAAATCCAACAAAATTGATAATTAACTACCTTAAAAAATTATTTATTTATTTATTTGACTGTGCTGGGTTGCTGGGTCTTAGTTGCAGCATGAGGAATCTAGTTCCTTGACCAGGGATCGAACCTGGGCCCTGAGTCTTAGTCACTGGACCACTAGGGAAGTCCCTTTCTAACTGTATTTTTTAAATGGAGAAAGTTCACATACTAAAAATAGAAATTGGAAGTTAATTAAAAACCACAGACATAAAGGATGAAAAGCCTTCTAAAAGCTGATTTTGCTCAGCTGTATGAAAATACATTTTTTAAATGCAGAAAATAGATTAGTTCCTAGTAAAATATTAATTGCCAAGTTGTCCTCAGAACAGATAACAATCAAAACTTAGCAATTAGAAATGTGAAAAGTTGTCAAATTTCCTACTCAAAATAAACAAATAAATAATGCCCTACTCACAAGTGATTTTACTAGTAAATTCTACCAACTTGTAAATAACAGATGACATCAAATGTTCTTGAATATGTAGAAAAGATGAAAATCTTCCAGATTCTCATGATGAAGCCAAAACCTGACAAAGGTAACAGAAAATAAAAATCACAGACTAAAAGCACTCATGAGTATCAATTCTAAGACTCCAAAGAGTACATTAGCAAACGGATTCAACAACACATAAAAAGAATAGCATACCTTAGTAAAGTACGATTCATATAAGACATGCAAAGATGGTTCCATCTGAAAAAATATGTATCTACATAATTCACCCTATTAGTGTTAAAAAGAGAAAAATCATAGTACCATCTTCATAAATTATTTTAGAAAGCATTTTTAAAATTTCAACAATTCTTGATTAAAATATGTAGTAAAATAGGAATAATCATGTTATATCATTCATATATATATATCCTAACCAGAAAGACTATGCTCTATAGGGAAATACTAGAATGTCTACCCTCACCATTATAACTAACTATCATCAATCTGGAGGTAATAGCCTACATAATTAGACAACAGAAATAAATAAGAGGAGCAAAAATTGGATAACAAAAATAGAATTAAGATTAATCCTTATTAATAGATAATATGATTACACATCTGAAAAACTCAAGAAAGAAAATCATTTGAAAAAGCATGACAAGAGTATTCACTAAAGTAATTAGGAACAAAGTAATGGACATGAATTTGAGCAATCTCCAGGTGATAGTGATGGACAGGGATGTTGAAGTCCATGAGGTTGCAAAATCAGACATGACTTAGCGAGTGAACACAATATCATTAGCCTTCCTATTAGGAAAGCTATATGAAATTGCTAATATTCAACTTTTTTAGACTCACAGATATGACAATACCACATGGTTTAACCTAGTACACACAAATAGCAACCATAGAGAAAGGATAATGGTTAAAAGAGGCCATTTACAATGATCACAAAAAAGACAAAATACTTTGGTACAGCATAAAATAAAGAAATGTTCTCAATCCAAACAAAGAGATCTTAAAAATTTCTTTAAGGAACACAAAATCAGACTTGAGTAGAAAAACACATCCTTTTCTAAGATAGGAGGCTTCAATGTCAATAAGATGTCTGCTTCATCCAGATTAATTTAGAATATTAACACAATCTCAATGAAAAAACCAAAAGAAAAAAATTTAAGTAGAAAAACTGATTTTAAAGTTCTTACTGGGGAATAAAAAACCCAAAAGCCAAGGATCTTACATTAAAAAAAGGAGAATAATGAAAGACCAGCCTAACAAGATAATATAACATTATAAAACTGCAGTAATCTAGACAGTGTATGCTTTGTGAATGAAGTCAATGGAATAGATTCCAGAATACAGAAGTAGACTTATATGTGAAGACTTCTGGCATGATAAGAGTACAATTTTAATTAAATAGGGAAAGGATTGATTATTCAATTAAAAACTCTTAGAACTAAAGAGCCTCTTGATGAAAGTGAAAGAGGAGAGTGAAAAAGTTGGCTTAAAGCTCAACATTCAGAAAACTAAGATCAAATCCTAAAGGAGATCAATCCTGGGTGTTCATTGGAAGGACTGATGCTGAAGCTGAAACTCCAGTACTTTGGCCACCTCATGCGAAGAGTTGACTCATTTGAAAAGACCCTGATGCTGGGAAGGATTGGGGGCAGGAGGAGCAGGGGATGACAGAGGATGAGATGGCTGAATGGCATCACCGACTCGATGGACATGGGTTTGAGTGAACTCTGGGAGTTGGTGATGGACAGGGAGGCCTGGCATACTGTGGTTCATGGGGTCTCAAAGAGTCAGACACGACTGAGCGATTGAACTGAACTGAGCTGATCTGAGACTCTTGCAGAGGAAACCACTAGCACTACTTTCTTATCTTTCAGAGTATTTGATATTCCCAAACCTCTTTCACAATAGATTAGATTTTATATACACAGTTCTGCATTTTGGTTTTCACTTAACCATGTAGGTTGAGGATTGTTTTATACCTGTACATCCAGGACTGCCTTATCTTATCATTTTTAAAATCTTTAAGCTACACTCCATTCCACTTTATGGAGGTACTTTCATTTATTTAACCAATCCCAATCAATGAACATTTATACTGATGCTAATCTTTTGCTGTCACTAGCATTTCTGCAGTAAATTACTTCATATGTAGCTCATTTTGCATGTATGAGGACATTTGAAGGATGCATCTGTAGAAGCAGAATTGCTGAGTAAAAGGGGATGGGCATTTTAATTTTGATGTGTGTGCGTGCTCAGTCATGTATAACTTTTTGCGACCCCACGATCTGTAGGTTGTCAGGTTCCTCTATCCATGGAATGTTCCAGTTAAGGATATTGGAGTGGGTTGCCATTTCCTACTCCAGGGGATCTTCCCAACGCAGTGATTAAACCCACATCTCTTGCTTGGCAGATGGATTCTTTACCACTGTGCCACTGGGAAGCAGTCATCACCAAATTGCCCACCAGAGGTTGTCCCTATTCATGTTAACATTGGCAAACATTTGAGACTATCTGTTTCCTAGACTTAAGCAAGAGAGCACACTATCAGGCTTTTTGAACTTTGTCAACCTTACAGGCACAAAGTAGGATTTCATACTTTTAATTTAGATTCGTCTCACTGGGTGATTTAAAATGTCAACTTTATCACAGACTACATTTATCTATTTGACGCCTTTCTAGGCTTTTTAGTTTATTTGTTGGTCTCCCTTGTCCTTTCATACACTATAGAGTTCTCATCCTAGTAGTTTTATACTATGTTTTACTCTACAGTAGGTCTAAATTTTTTTCTTTCCTCTAAGAAATTACTGGCTATTCTTGTCTATTTTTCCAATATAAGTTTGAAAAATAGTTTGTCAAATAAAATCCTGCTGCATTTTTACTGAGGTTGCAATCAAATCAATAGATTACTTAGGGATATCACTACTCACTTGTTAAAGCTTACATTGAAGGTTTATAATTTCTTGTCGGTATCTTTCGAGTAATGTCTTCCTTGTGCTTATAACAATGTCTTAAATAAAGTGTTTTCTTGTTCATTCTTCACAGCATCTTTGGAAACAGTCCAGGAAGATAGAATATATAGGATTAGTCTAAGATATTTGATAGAAAATCTTAGCCCAGTTTTATATCTACTCTTTGGTAATGCCTCCCAGTAGATTTTAAGAAAATTCAAAAACCAAACGAACTTTTCTACCCACAATTAAGTATTCCTACTGCAAAAACTGACCAGTATGAAAGCACAGTTCTGTAGGGTGTTTCTTGTGTGGTGATCTGTGGCCAAGCACTGTGGAATGCATTCCCATCATGGAGTAACAATCTCAAAAGAATTTTGAAACCAGAGTAGGCTTGAATGCTATACAAATGACACCCAGGATCTTGGCTTATTTCCCAGACTTTCCCTTTTTGGTTTTCTAGCAAGTTTGGTCATGCCTGGGAATTTGCTGAATCTGGTGTTTGGATCAGGGACTTCCTGAATGCTACCTTGGGATCAGTGACATGTGTTTGCCCAAGGGGGTTTGGAGTAAAATTTTTAGATAAACCGCTGTTGTTAAGTAAGTTCTCTACTGAATTTGTTCTCAGAAAACCCTGGCACGAGGGTGTCAATAGGAAGGGCAGCTTGTGAATTGTTAATGGAAGGCAAAGATCTTGTGAGAGAGTATTGTACTGTGAAGAGTATTTTTTTTTTGTGTGTGTGAAGAGTATTAAGTTGCATACCTGGGCACACTGGTGTTCCAGCTGGAGGGTCGTCAAGTTTTTAAATAAATATCTAATGTATTTCAAAGCTCTCTTTAATGCTACCCTTGACAAATGCCACTCGCTAAAGGTCAGCCAAGACTTGATAAACAGGTGCTTATCTGCGGTAACCAGGCACTGCCTACCATCACCCTAGTTCAGGTAACATGGAAAGAGCTGAAAAAGCTCTTATATTAGTTACTGAATTACTTAGGACACAAATATGTGTTGACATATAGCTGAGTATATTTCTGGATTACATTTCCAAAATAAGTATGGTTTTCATAATTTTGTTTTAGTCAACACTTTTCTCCTCAATGTTAGGTATAATTAAGAGCTGACTCAGGTAAAATATTTTTAAAAAGTACAGCAGTGTAATACACATACCTAGGTAACCTCTGAGGCTTTTTACCACCACCCGCATAAATAAGAACATTCTTTAGCTGGTCCCTCAGCAACAAAAAGCTACTGTGTTCTAAACTAGAATGTTATGCGAGAGTCTGAGTAGCGTACAGTTTACTGAATGCTCAGCCTGTTTAGTGACATACCAAAAAGTAGGACAAAGGCTTAAAGCAAAAATGTGGGGCAAGTTTTCAGCAATGACGTTAAAGGCATATGGATGGTGAAATGTTTAATTATCAAGGCAGAGACCAGGTTGTAAAATCTAGCTAAAATAAAAGTATAAAGATGGGCTGTGAATGGGATAGCTGTCTGATTCAGTGATTTCATGGTTTGCTGAGCATTAACAGTGTTGCCAGAATTATGAAATTAGACCACTCTGAACAGAGAATGGTGATGGTGAGATGGTGGCTTACGTCACTCGTCTTTTATTCCCACTGTAATGACAACTCCTTAGATTATAAATATTAACTATTTATACATGAGAAATTAATGAAAGGTGAGACAAAATGGGCTTCAAAAGTAAATTGTTACAGTAAATTAGGTAAAGGTCATATAAATGGAGTAACAATCTCAAAAGAATTTTGAAACCAGAGTTGGCTTGAATGCTATACAAATGACACCCAGGATCTTGGCTTATTTCCCAGACTTTCCCTTTTTGGTTTTCTAGCAAGTTTGGTCATGCCTGGGAATTTGCTGAATCTGGTGTTTGGATCAGGGACTTCCTGAATGCTACCTTGGGATCAGTGACATGTGTTTGCCCAAGGGGGTTTGGAGTAAAATTTTTAGATAAACCGCTGTTGTTAAGTAAGTTCTCTACTGAATTTGTTCTCAGAAAACCCTGGCACGAGGGTGTCAATAGGAAGGGCAGCTTGTGAATTGTTAATGGAAGGCAAAGATCTTGTGAGAGAGTATTGTACTGTGAAGAGTATTTTTTTTTTGTGTGTGTGAAGAGTATTAAGTTGCATACCTGGGCACACTGGTGTTCCAGCTGGAGGGTCGTCAAGTTTTTAAATAAATATCTAATGTATTTCAAAGCTCTCTTTAATGCTACCCTTGACAAATGCCACTCGCTAAAGGTCAGCCAAGACTTGATAAACAGGTGCTTATCTGCGGTAACCAGGCACTGCCTACCATCACCCTAGTTCAGGTAACATGGAAAGAGCTGAAAAAGCTCTTATATTAGTTACTGAATTACTTAGGACACAAATATGTGTTGACATATAGCTGAGTATATTTCTGGATTACATTTCCAAAATAAGTATGGTTTTCATAATTTTGTTTTAGTCAACACTTTTCTCCTCAATGTTAGGTATAATTAAGAGCTGACTCAGGTAAAATATTTTTAAAAAGTACAGCAGTGTAATACACATACCTAGGTAACCTCTGAGGCTTTTTACCACCACCCGCATAAATAAGAACATTCTTTAGCTGGTCCCTCAGCAACAAAAAGCTACTGTGTTCTAAACTAGAATGTTATGCGAGAGTCTGAGTAGCGTACAGTTTACTGAATGCTCAGCCTGTTTAGTGACATACCAAAAAGTAGGACAAAGGCTTAAAGCAAAAATGTGGGGCAAGTTTTCAGCAATGACGTTAAAGGCGTATGGATGGTGAAATGTTTAATTATCAAGGCAGAGACCAGGTTGTAAAATCTAGCTAAAATAAAAGTATAAAGATGGGCTGTGAATGGGATAGCTGCCTGATTCAGTGATTTCATGGTTTGCTGAGCATTAAGAGTGTTGCCAGAATTATGAAATTAGACCACTCTGAACAGAGAATGGTGATGGTGAGATGGTGGCTTACGTCACTTGTCTTTTATTCCCACTGTAATGACAACTCCTTAGATTATAAATATTAACTATTTATACATGAGAAATTAATGAAAGGTGAGACAAAATGGGCTTCAAAAGTAAATTGTTACAGTAAATTAGGTAAAGGTCATATAAAGTTAGGAGAACATTTTCAAATCTAAGAAAACAGCATAACACAAATTTCATGATTCTCCTTATACTAATAGAACTTGTGTCAAACAAGTCTTATGAGGAAAACGTTTTACAAACATGACCAAGCTCCCAAGTCTTGAAATTTGCTTTAAGTATTCTTAAATTCTGTGGTTATAGGACTAAAGAAATCTCATATAAGTGGAAATCTGGGTCTGACAAACCTTTTAGAGAAATGTAAAATGTGATTTAAACTAAAGGGAATTCTAGTTTCTTTTGATGACGATTTTTCATTTAGGATTTATGGACTCCGGAGGGACCTCTGTACACCTGAGAACCTGATTGCCTTTATATAGATGTGTCATGCTAGAGAACTGTCTGAAATATTTCAGAGTGAATTCTGCAACAGACTTTACACCATTAAAAATGTGGTTCCAGGATAATCATGACAGATGACAAAATGGAATATTTTTCAGCCTTTCAAAACCTAGGGGAATGTGAATTAACACATTCTCGAGATTATTTTATTCCTGGGTGATAATATTTAGGTGCTTTATGTACTCAGAGGAGTATAGGTAAGAGTATATCCATTGGTCAAGACATCAGCCATTCTGCTCCTAACTCTGAAGGAGACAAGGCCGGATGTGATCACCTTGGTTTGTGCTTTTCATGAAATAGCCTCATTTCTATCCTGCTTGCGAGCACCGTGGGTACTTTTACCAGCAATCAGAATGCAAGCAGGCGAGTAAGCTAAGAGTCTTGACCGAGTTACATCCTCAGACTTTTGCCTACAGTTGGTGAGGTGAGTCTGGCCTGAAGCCCCACGCGGACTGTTTCCCTGCGCTTGCGCTGGGAGAGGCGGCGCGGCACAGGCTCGAGCGTCACACGGCACAGGCTCGAGCGTCACACGCCGCGGCTCCACCTTCATGCTGTAGCTGTTCGGCCGTGGTCTGCCTACCTCCATCTTTCTATGTCCTGGTTCCCTGTGGAAAAATAAGGCCTGACAATGGTGTTTACTTCAGGGGAGCATTGTAAACATGACACGAGGGAATTCATCTAATGCATCTAGAACAGTGCCAGTGAATGTTAACAGTGATTTTTATAAAAGTCACATGATTGAGGATTTAATATATTTGGCAAGCTAGTAAGTTCCTCCTTCCCATCCATGCATAGAGACATATCCTTGAACATGAAAAACGAGCAGAGAATCTCTCAGACAGGTAGTAGCAGCAAATCTTCACAACCACAGATCTAGTTGAGAAAAATTTCCAGGTTTTGATGAGTCAAACTGGAGTGTCCTTCAACTTGGGGTTATGAGGAGCCAGATAGCCCCAAACAAGATGCCCCAGCTGTTCCCACTGGCTGGGTCACTTTCCACTGTCACTGACTGTGGGAGCAGTCCTTCCCCTGCGTCATGCTGCGGCATCCTTTCCCCACACAGGTCATCTTTAGTACAGCACATGGTCAGTCAACCATCAGAGGCAAAAGTTTTGTGTAAGAACTGACACAAAACTTTGTGCGTTTATGTCCATGAACAAACTGGGGTCCTTACCCTCCAAAAATATCATGATCCTAAAGCTGACAGCTGTTCACATGAAACTCTGAATACATTCCCTTCTTTATAAACAAAACACAACAGAACATTATAATGTCTTTCAAAAATTCAAATTAATTGACTAACTACCATTTCCCACGAACCCCACCATTTCCTCCTTTGCTTGCTTTCTCTTTCTTTATGTTTCAGTTGCAGAGAGAGTAAATCATAAATTACTGTCTGGTATAGAGAGAAATTAGTCTGCATCTGGAAGGAATTGGGAAAGCACTGGGATTTTTTTTTTTTTTCTAATCATGAATGCAGTGATTACCAACTTCAAAATAAATAAAGGTTTTCAGTAAATGGGAAAGAAGCAGAACACACTCTAGGGTGAGGAGACAGTGAGTGCAAAGGTAGAGAGAAGTGAACATGCACTGTTGCATTTAGGGAACATACATTTCTTTCAGCATACAGCAAGAAAGAAACCTCTTTGGTCTCTGTAGGAAACACCACAGAGTTACTATGGAGCACAAGTTGGGGACTAATTGTGAACACCTAGTTAGACATTTTTGTTCTGCACAGGTAAATACAATGGTCAGCCTTTAATAGAATAGAAAATAGAATCCAAGTTCTATTTTCAAGTTCACCCTGACATGTGCTTCCTACTCCTTTTTTGCTACATCCCAGAAGCTACTAATTTTGCTTTCTTTGGTTGTGGAAAAAGCAAGATCCCTTCTTCCCGAGCCTCTTGTTTCCAGGTAGGGTTTGCTTCTTCTCAAGGCTTCTTACAGTTCAGCAATTCCCATGAATTTTGGTCAAATAATTTTCCTACTGGAATATGTACTCCATGAAAGCATGGATTTTCATATTTTTAAATTCATGGTTATTTCTGGTACTTACAGATTACCAGTCTAGATATAATTCAATACATTTAAGACCCTACAATGTAGTGCCCTATGGAGAGTCCAGTGATGCTCCCTAAAATGTGGACCATTTTAAAAATCTTTATTAAATTTGTTACAATAATGCTTCTGCTTTATATGTTGGTTTTTTGACTGTGAGGTTTGCAGGGTCTTAGCTTCCTGATCAAGGATCATATCTACACCCACAGCATTGGAAGGCAAAGTCTTAACAACTGGACACCAGGGAAGTCCCTCCCTACCTTTAAAAAGCCTGTCAACAAGTGAAAAAGAGACAGATGATCAAACCCCAAATCAAGGCAAAATGAAACCCGTGCAACAAACATATTGTTAGTAGGGGATGCTAAGGACTGAATGTCTCCCCTAGAGTCATGTGTTGAGACATAGTCCCCAGTGTGATAGTGTTTAGAGTGGGTCTTTGAGAGGTGATTAGGCCATGTAGGTAGAGACTTTATGAATGGGATTAGTGCTCTTTTTAATAAGGGAGCCCAGAGAGATCCCTTGTCCCTCTGTCATGCAAGACTGCAGTAAGTTGGCAGTCAATGAGGAAGGGGTCTCTCACCAGACACTGAGTCTGCCAGTTCCATCCTCTTGGATTGCCCAGTCTCTGGAGCTGAGGGGAGTGTTTATTGTTTACAAGCCACCCAG